GTTTAGTTGGGCCCTGGCCGGCCCCCGGTTCGGGGAAGCCCCCAGGGAGAAGCCCACGTGTGCCGATCGGCACCAATAGCCGAAGACCTGAAGGGGTCCACGCGTGGGGCTGCACCTTCTCCGGGCCCTGCCCCGAACTTCTGGTTTAGTTGGGCCCTGGCCGGTCCCCGGTTCGGGGAAGCCCCCAGGGAGAGACCCCCCCTGGTTTAGTTGGGCCCTGGCCGGCCCCCGGTTCGGGGAAGCCCCCAGGGAGAAGCCCACGTGTGCCGATCGGCACCAATAGCCGAAGACCTGAAGGGCCCTGTGCCAGGAGCTGGATCCCCAGGTGATGCGGGCGATGAGCTTTACTTGGACATTTTTAAAACTTTAGTAAAACAGGCGCTTCGTCCCTTTGGCCTTCGGTCCTGTCAGAAGGAAAACGTATTCAGATCGACGGATAGCTTTGTCAACATCCTGATGCTCATTTTAATACCCACTTACCAGAGATGTGTTCAATGCCAAGTGTATGTGTAATGCCAGCTAGCAGGGCTGTGGCAGTGAACATGAGAGACCGCGCACTTGGCATTTGTAAAATGGGTCTTTCTCCCACAGAGTGGCTGGTGGTTTCAAACAGCTGACCTTGTGTTCAGCAGCCCCACTTGTAAACACTACGCCACCAGGACTCCTGTGACAACGAAATATGCAGTCAGAAATTGTTAGATGTTTTCTGGAGGACAGAATCTCCCCTGGTTAAGAACCCCAGCCTGAGAATGATCATAATCTCTCAGTGCTTTGTGATTGGCGTCCATTCATGCAGTAGAATTATGCTGCTTGGTAAATAGAGCGTTTTCATTGTAGAACAAACCTGTATCCGTAAATAAGACTTAAACATTTTTCATTTAAATTAGGTGGGGGTTTGCATTTTGGGCCGACAGTTTTGTATTCAACAATTTAAGCTAACTTACCAACCCCCAAAATAGCACCCCTTCTTCCCCCTATGGACAGACTTGGTGAATATTATGATGATGGGTGAAAGTAGTCACTCACCAAAGGACACATTTTGTATGAGGCTGCTGTTATAAAGAAAGAAAAAAAACACCCCAAAGGTTTGCATACTAAAGGACGTAGATTTTTGATGATTACTAAGGTGGGTGGGAGGCCACGGGAGGGAAGATGAAGCAGTAGTCTTGAGGGTAGCCAGGAGTTAATGGAGGTGAAGGAGAGATCGTGTACACAAGATGGAGAAGAGAAATCTCAAATGAATTATCAGTCCTTTGTTTTTACCGTGAATATGTTGTTATAGATATACTTTTTAAATGAGAATAATATTGATCTTCCCTCTACTTCCTTGAGGATTTTGCTTCTGCTTAAAAAAATTCTTTGTTGGTTGCTGAGAGTACACCCAGCAAAACGTTCAACATTTTCTGCGAGAATCAATCAGTCACATTGATTACATTCTTCAAGTGTGTAACCATCCTCCCCCACTGACAAACTCACCGCCCCCTGAAGATCCTACATAATCTCTCAGATTACTCTAGTCAGTTTGACACCACACAGATCTTAGAACAGCACGAAGCTCAAGGCAGACCTTTACCAGTTAAACTGAACGATTAAGCTTCAAGGTGGCTTCCTGGAGCATTTTTGGTTTGCAGTTTAAGGCAGCAGTTCTCAACCTGTGGGTCGAAACCCTTTTGGGGATCGAATGACCCTTCCACAGAGGTTGCCTGAGTCACAACAGTAGCAAAATTACATGATGAAGTAGCAACAAAAATAATTTTATGGTTGGAGGTCACCACAACATGAGGAACTGTATTAAAAGATCATAACATTAGGAAGGTTGAGAACCACCGGTTTAAGGTGGTCTCAGAGCAGGTAGTTTCAGGGATTCATCCGCTCTTCCTGGTACAAGAAAGTCAAGTCCATGAGAATTCAAAGTCTGTATTTTCCACCCGCACCCCTTTGCTCAGGATTCTTTTATGGAATCATTGACCAAAATATTCATACCAGTAGTGAGCACTAGCTTGTTCATAGGGTCCTACAGCAAAGAAGGGAGTTAGACAGATGCTCCCCCTATTCCTGAATTTCCTTCCTCTGTTGCTCCAGCTGTGTAGAGACTAAATGTGCCTTGTACGGCCAGTTGCGAGCTTTGACTTTCCCAGACACTATGCTCCTATTGATGAACTAGGAGCTGGAACACAAGCAGTAACACGTTATTAGCCGGTTTCCTGCGATGTTGCATGAAATCATGACCCTAACCCTGCAACCAAGGAACAAAATTTGATAAAATGTTTCGTTTCACATAAGCAGTCTCGGCAGCTGTTTTTGGGGCTGAGGAGGGCTAGTCAATTCAACGGTTTACAGGTGAACACCTTATTGAAGGCATTGACCATGAGTGGCTGTATGGCCCCAGCATTAACCAGTATGACTTTTCGGTTGCATGTATTATTGCAAGCAGGAAAAAAATAATAGGTAAATTTGTTTTCACGTGAATCTTTTCATTTTCTTTTAAGTGGCTCTCTGACCGGAAGAAGAGGGCGCTGCAGAAGAAAGATGTTGGTGAGTAGATGGGCTTTTTCCTCACTCACGCTCATTAGTGCTGTGTGACTGCAGTTAAGTGGACGTTTGTGAAGGTGCACTCGATTAATATGATGGGGAAAAAGGCATTTTATTTTGCCTTTTTCTTTCTTAAGAAACCTTTCGTTGACAATGTGTTCCTGGTCAGAATGAGATGTGCATTATTTTGTTGCTGTTTCATGGATGTTGGCAGAAGACACAAGACTCGTGGGCCCTAGTTGTACTTCCAGCAACATCAGGGCACAAAAAGCCCACTCCCTTTGTTCTTGAGTCTGGGAGGGACTAGTACAGCCCAGATGGATGCTGCTCGTGCAGGGGCTTGGTGTGGTAGCTGAGGAGCACTGAGCGCTGGAGAGCTACTGCTTTTATAATGAGCAGATCCCGGTCTGCTCTCTGGCCTCCTCTGATTTGAAGTTCCTAGCTGCATCAGTAATCCCTGGGGATGACATAGTTGAAAGAGTGGCCAGAGCCTGGCAGCCTGGCTCTGCCCAGCAAGCTGTGTAGGAAGGAACGTAAGAGGCCTTAGGGAGACTGTGCTTCCTAACCACTTCCTCGCTGCTCTGTTCTTTCGTGTGGGAGATCTTACTCTGTTAGTTACGCCCCCTTGTCCATTTGGGGGAGTTAGAGACCAATGAGCATTTCCTGGACGGTGGTGTTACATTCAGGAACGGGAACGTGAGCAATAGATCGTTGCAGAAGATTGTCAGTCTTTACATTTGGGCACCAGGGAAAGATGGACCATCAGCCACCAGTATTTTTTATTTTACACTTCACTTATTGTAGTGGACACATTTCCGTGGGATTTCCTCCATTACAACTTGTCACTGTGAAAGTTTAATTTAATGTATCCTCATGTACCTAAGATATTCAAGGGTTTCTGGATAGGAGGTTGATTCCCCAACGCAAGCATGTTGGAGAAGTGGCCTTTCTATAGCACTAAATTTGGGAAACCAAAATTTGAACTCAAAGAAAACAGAAGTTGCTGGTGTACTAATGCTCACCGATTCGGATTTCGCCTGCCCCTCCCATTGCAGTAGTCTGATGTGTAACCAAGCCCACTCATTCCGATTGTTTGGGGGTGGGGGGCGGGGAAGAGAGCATGAATGCATTTAATATTTCTTCAACCCCGGTTTAAAGCTATTTGCAAGATATGTAGTTTCAAACTACGTACTGAGTGGGCCAGATCTTAGAGATACTGCACGTTTGGTTCCAGACCATGGCCCCAAAGTGACTGTTGCCTGCAGCGAGTCACACAAACATGGGGGGGG